TTTTTTTTTTTTTTTTTTGCCTTTTATTTAATACATAAAATGTTTATTATTTTACTATTTAAAAAAATTATCTATAAATTTTAAATTTTATTGTACTTTCTCTCAACAATAAATTTTTAATTAGATCAATCAATTTACTTAATTTGTTAAATATATTTTAAATTGTTTGAAATAAATCTTTTTTTTATTAAAATAATACATAAAATTAAAAATATTTTATAATTTATAAGTGGTGTGGTGTGTTAAATATTTAATATTAAAATTTTATTAAAATTTTATTTTAACAAAAAAAAATTAATTATCTAATTGGATATTCGTGAGTCATCATAAATATTAAAAAAAGAATTAAAAGTTTTTTAGGTCAAGTCTTTATTTTATATAAAGTAATTTAATAATTTTAAATTTTCATCGAATAAAAAATTAATAATAAATTCCACCGTCGTGTCGGGTGCAATCAGCGACAGCTTTCACGTATTTATTGCGTTATTGCACCAGTTGTTTTTCGCGGGACCCTAAACGACGTCGCTCTTTTTTCTTCTTCTCCGGACGGCTCGCCGTTTCGTACGCTCCGCGGCTTCGGCTCTGGTTCCGTATATTTCTTGTACAGTTCATAAATTTCAGGGAAGAAGAAGAAGAAGAAGAAGAAGAATCAAAATCAAAGGTTCAAAACGAGGGTTGACGCCAAAAGGGGTCGTGAATTTTTTTTCCACCGGTCATTAATTATTATGTCGGACAAGAACAGGATAGCCTCTCCGCCATTCGACCAATTATGGCATTCCATTTGCCCTTGATTTCCTTAATCGATTTGTTTTTAACCTTTTCTATTTATTTTTGAGTCTATGGTGTTTCCGTTTTGAAATGCATGTGAGATATGGTTTCGACTGGGGGAATTTCGTTTCCGGGATGTGTGCCTCCGCCGCTCCGCCAGAAATCATTCTCGCCGCCATCGGCGTTTGGGTTTGCAAGGCTTTCCAATGGGATTAGCTTCAAATCAACGGTGGTTGTTTGTGATTGGGCTGAGAAAAAGGGTTCGAGGGCGGTGATTGTTAATGGGAAGGTCGATGGTTTGGGTAAGAGTGAATGCGAGATTGATTTAGATGCTACCTTGGGCAATGGACATGCTGGAAACTCTGGTATTGCTTCAATTTTGATGTCTGTTGTTGGTATAATCTTGATTCAGGGACTTGATTTTGGTTGAATCAGAATATTTGTCTTGTTTTCTGAATCATCTCATTGATGTTTCTGGTGTTATGGCTGTCTTGCTTGATTCCTTAGATAGCACAAACAAGATATTGGAATAGCAAGAACCTTATGTTTGTATCTATGTCGATCTTAGCTATATTCTTATGTAGAACTCTTTGAAACGCTGATTTAGTTGCAGAACGTTTGAATTGTTTCTATGTTGATATAAGCTCATATAGTGGTGTCTGATGATGTTCTTGTTTGTGTGAGATTCTTGTCTTAGTTTAAGCTGTCAAGATTACTAAGATGCTTTTCAATCAGGGAAAAATGCTGGAGTGTTGTCCACAGTAGGAAACTCTACCAATATCAAGTGGCATGAATGTTCAATTGGAAATGTTGAAAGACAGAGCCTTCTCAACCAGAAAGGGTGTGTCATATGGATCACAGGGCTCAGTGGCTCAGGTTTGTCTAACCTTTTCCTTCTGCTTTTACGCCTTAGTTGTTATTATCTATTAATCATCGTTTAGATTGTATTCGAATGAAATTAGACTTGGAGTTTTGGGTATCCATCGGTTTGGCTGGGTTTGTTCTCTGATAGATTTTTTGGGTTGTACATTTGTTCTAATGTAACAACCCAAGCCCACCGGTAATAGATATTGTCTGCTTATGGTTTTAAAATGCGTCTACTAGGAAGAGGTTTCCATGCCCTTATAAGGAATAATTCGTTTCCCTCTCTAACCGATGTGGGATCTCACAATCCACCCCTCTTGGGGCTAGCGTCTTTGCTGGCACACCGCCTGATGTCTGGCTTTGATACCATTTGTAACAACCCAAGCCCACCGCTAATAGATATTGTCCGCTCATGGTTTGAAAATGCATCTACTAGGGAGAGGTTTCATGCCCTTATAAGGAATGATTTGTTTCCCTCTCCAACCGACGTGGGATCTCACAATCCACCTCCCTTGGGGGCCCGCGTCCTCGCTGGCACACCGCCCGGTGTCTGGCTCTGATATCATTTGTAATAGCCCAAGCCCACCGCTAACAGATATTGTTTGTTTTGGTTCGTTACATATAGTCGCCAGCCTCACGGTTTTAAAACACGTATGCTAGGGAGAGGTTTCTATGCCCTTATAAGGAATGTTTCGTTTCCCTCTCCAACTGATGTGGGATCTCACATCTCACCAAAATTATCCTTGTTCCTTCTAGATAATAGACGAAACCCAACCATGAAATATATGAGTCCGATTGATTTTGATTTTTCAGGTTATGTATGGAAAGATTTAGTGAAATAGATAGTAAAAAATGTTGGCTTGAAATATATAAATTGGGTTTGAGACTTTTTCAACCTGACCCAATTTTAGCTAACTTGCAGGGAAGAGCTCTGTGGCTTGTGCCTTGACTAAAAGCTTATACAAAATGGGAAAGTTGGCTTATATTCTTGATGGGGACAATGTTAGGCATGGATTGAATCGTGACCTTGGCTTTAAAGCCGAAGATCGTGCGGAGAACATAAGGAGGGTTGGTAAGTCCTGCTCGAGAAGTTTTGTTCATTTACAACACTTCGGATTGGGCTGTTCATGATTCCTAATTATACCTCTTCCATAAACTAGGTGAGGTTGCGAAACTGTTTGCAGACGCTGGAGTTATTTGTATTGCTAGTTTGATATCTCCATATCGAAGGGATCGAGATGCTTGTCGTGCCATTTTACCTGATGGATACTTTATTGAGGTATTTCTAAATTTACGCATACCATCGATTTTGAGTGGACTTCTATTCTACCTCGCCTCGCCTCGCCTCGCCTTGGGAACATATATGACAAAAATATACTAAAAATATACAGGTGTTCATGGATGTTCCTCTTGAAATTTGTGAAGCACGAGATACGAAGGGACTGTATAAGCTTGCACGGGCGGGGAAGATCAAAGGTTACTGCATTGTTATCGTCTTACTTAGAGTTAATTGATATCAAATAGGCTTAAATATGCTCAGAATTATCATAGTTCATCCATTGACTGAACAAAATCTCATATGTTTGCAGGCTTTACCGGTATTGATGATCCATATGAAGTACCATTGAATTGTGAGGTAAAATTACTCAGTCTAGTGGAAAATGGAACATTTTAGAACAACTTGCAAAAGATAAATGCTTCTACTACTTGGCAAATGATTCTCGGGTTAAATTATAAGTTTAGTACTGATCTTTAAGTTTAGTTCTTATAGGCCCCGGGTCTTCAAAAAGTTCATAATTAATCGCTGAACTTTCAACTTTGCAACTAATAGATATCTGATTGTCTGGTAGATCAAAACTTACTCGACATTCTTTAGAATTCATTGTTAACTAAGTTGGAAGTTTAAGATTCTATTAGACACGGAATTAGAAGTCTTAAGGACGTTTTAGATATTTGAAAGTTCAATGTACTAACGCTCTTGTTGGGTTTCAGATTGTACTGAAACACAATGGAGGTTCCCCATGCGACATGGCAGATAAAGTGATGAGTTTCCTTGAGCAGAAGGGCTTCCTGAAGGCTTAACTCAGAACACAATGAATAAGGGGCCTTAACAATTGAAGTTTTGGTTCAAATTTTCACTCTGTTTTAGAGCAAATCCAGTTTAACTAAAGTTTTGGCTTTGCTTCTTGTCTTGTTACGTCTAATTTGCTACTCCTTTGACCTCTTCTTTCTCTGAATACAGATAGGAATGAAGGTTTGACATAGAACGTTGTCTGAAAAAGGTTGCATGTGATGATAGATCAATTCAT